TGCATTTTTTCTGAGAGATCAACTCTAAAAAAAAAAGCAGCAGAATTCTAAGGAGAAAGGAAAAATTATTGAAGAGAAAGGAAAAACTATTAAAGAGAAAATTTTTCCAGAAGCAGGGGGAGCTTACACCCCCCCACACCCCCCTTTAGCCACGGCACTGTACCTGTCCTCAAAAGTCGAGTCTCAATTGGAAGACAAGCTTGTGATGTAGCAATACAAGTCTTAGTCTGGCACGGTTCTCTCCGACAACAATCATATGTCGTTCAATAACGTGAACTATTCTTTATACTTTTTCCTTTTTTTTGTGTTTTTGTATTCTCAGATCCTTAAATCTGTTAATGTGATCTCTCTATGTATTTCTCCATTTCGTCCATTTTTCCTTTTTCCCTTTCTGATTTTTCGATGCGCGGGACGTGCATCTTTGTTGTTGAGGGATCTTTGTTGTTGGGGAGAGGTGTTATGACCTGCCGTTCCCAGCTGCTCATAAAATTCTGGTCTTGTATCATCCGTACGCATCTCTTGCTTCATCACGGGATTTCCCTAACTCTTTCTGTTCTTGCAAAACTCTTGCTCAATTTGTATACTATATATAGCCGTTCACTTACTTCAAATAGAGGAGAGAGTGGGCGTTGGATCTCACAAGCGGTGGGACAGTTGGGGCCTTCCTTCGTTAGTGAAACATACAAATTCAAGAGAAAAGAGAATAGAATTGGCTTTTACCTATATAGTGAGAAAGTTTGATACTACTCTAGAAGAAAAGACAATTGGAAAAACATCCGTCTGTACACTGTACACATAGTACATTTATATATGATCACCATATATGGAAAAGAATTAGACATGATAAAGTAGTTGAACATCAGACGTGTTAGGAATAAAAATATTTTTTCTCGTTCGTATTCTTATATTTAACCTCATACTATGTACTGTGTCAGATAATATCAGTCCTATTTGGCTTTATAAACCCGAAAATGACGGTAATAAAAGATTTACCACCAATTTCATTATATAAACTAATATTCTACGTTTTAATTACTAAGTTGCTTAATATTATATCAGTCATAGTTGGTCTAACAGGACATTGCATTTATTATACAATAACAGAAACAATACACTTAATTAAAGTCATTTTATATGTTAATAATGACGCTACAATTAAATGAGAAAATACGAAAATTGATGCTTGTAAACGTACAAATGAATATTATATGATAATTATTGGTAGTGGTTTTAGTGGTCTAGGACTGGCGATCAAACTTAATGAAATGGGTATGTTTAACTATATAATATTAGAACGTCATTCTAGACTGGGTGGTACATGGTATGCCAATCAAAACCCTGGATGTTCATGTGCTGTAGTGTCAAATCTCTATTCTTTCTCATTTTAACCAAATCCGAATTGGAGTCATTACTATAGTCGACAAGATGAAATATGAAAATATTTAGAGTATTGTGCCGATAAATATCATTTAATGAAAAATATACAATTTAATACAAATGTTAGCCAATGTCGTTGGATTGAAGAACGACAACAATGGCGTGTAACTTCTAATAATAATCAATATTTATATGCTCAATATTTAGTTGCTGGTTATGGTCCCTTATCAAATGCACAATACCTTGATAACATTGAAGGTATTCAAACATTTCAAGGTGATCAATTTCATTCAGCTAAATGGAATACAAATCATTCGTTTGATAAAAAACGTGTGGCTGTAATTGGTACTGGTGCAAGTGCTTTGTATCAAAAATTCAAAAACAAGTTAAGGAATTATTCGTATTTCAACGTACACCTGGATGGATTATACCACGAGAGTGTAGAAAAATAACTGAATTTGAAAAGAGACTATTTGTCTATTTTTCATTAGTACAAAAACTGATACGTGGTTGTCTCTAGGCTCCCTCCCCTCCCTCTCCTCGCAGAATAAAACGCCATGCCCTTATACAGTGTCTCGGCACATCATTACTTTTTCCATGGCCGTCTAATTAGGGCGACCTTCTAATACGCCTGAAATTTAGAAGGTCCTATTCGTATTGGACATACGAAGTAACTGTTTTACCATCTGTGCATCGATGGCCATTACGTCATGGGCTACAAATATTGATGAAATATAATCTTTATAGTCAAGTTAGACATCCAGAATTGCGAAAAAATCAACACCTAAAGTTGAACTAGGTAAAGTAAATTTTCTTTCTGTGAATAGTAATGATTAAAATGAACTGATGAATGTTGGACAGTAATATCACTATCGTAATCCGTTAAATAATTGTTTAGAAATATAATCGGCTTGATGTGAGATATACAAGAAACAGACACCTAATCTTGAATGTTTTAATGAATGAAGTTTTCTATGAAGACAACGTACGGCTATAGACAGCTCTTATTTATGTCTGTTCGATGTAAGAGCGTAGCACTTTGTACTTCAGTAGTAAATTTTTTTTTGTTAAGTCTCTGTTTTGAAAATTGAACCGTACATTATAATTCTTTTGTTTTGTTAGCGGGATTCATTTGCAGAAAATTTCTTTGAACTCGATTTCTTATTTTGATTAGTAAACCGAAAAGAATGAAGCATTTTAAAAAGCTCTTGACGAATTTCATAGAACCGTATTTCATGTCTTTTCCACCTCGAATTCATCGCGCATGGTTTAAAATTCTGAAACCTTTTCCACACGTTTAGAAGAATAATATCCAATAAAAGACTATTTTATTCCGTTTCTAATCTTATTACAATTTTTTAGTGTCCTATAATTCATGGTTTTTGAAGATGACTCTGAAATGGTTTTAGTTTGGATAATCAAAATGAGAAATGTTTTACTCTTTGAAACTCTTTTTCTGCATCTAGTTAACCTACACATTAAGATATAAACCATCTTTATCATAATGAAAAATATCGCTATTTTCTGTTAGAGATGTTTCGTCTTTATGCAAAAGATATCATCAATCAAATGTGACAATCGATAGTTGATTCTGACGACAGAAAAATACGAGATAAAACAAAATACAAGTATGTAGAACATAACAAAATAAAATAGATCGAACAAAAAGAACTTTCTATTTTCTACTATATATGTAGATTATGTAACATGTCATCAAAATACTTTAAGATCAAAGCTTTTTGCGAATAAATTTTTCTTTTTCTTTTGTTTTGTATAAATGTCCATTAACAAGCTTTCTTTAATAGTTCTTTTTATAAAGTGTGATTCAACTGCAAGAATTTCTGAATTCCAGTTAGTACGATGACACGTGTCCAAGCAATGGACAGCTATCCTAGAAAATCCTGTGCCGTAAAAGGCATTTTGATGTTCTTTTCTTATTGTTACTCCTCTCGTTATCTGTCCTATATAACTGTTCGTATATCCACAGCAATCATATTTGTAAACCACCCTCTTAAAGTCCTGGGTTTCATCACTTTCTTTTTGTAAGAGCAGGATAAGAATAACTATACACCAGTTTTTGCTGAAACTCACATTTATCTACGAATATCTTAAGATCAAGTAATTTCTTATTATGCCTCGTCGTCAATAGATTCTTCTCTTTTTCAACAATATGGTTTATACGCGTTGATATTTTGACATAAACTACTGATTCTATAGTCATTTTTAATTCATTATCTTTCAAAGTTATTAAGCGATTAATAGTTTGAAATTTCTTTCTCTTCGCTCGATAACAACCATGGAGAATCGAACGTTTCAACCCACGATATTTATCAGAATCACGAAATTGCTTGTTATACCCTTTAAATCTCGCAAAGGAGTAGTATCGATAAGTCGGTTTTTCGTTTCAAAAATTTTCCGATTGAAAGCCACATATTTGGAATCAGCGTCGAATTCTGAACAAAATGGCCGATTCAGATTTTTTTTGAAAAAATTTTATTTTTCGCCTTCCAAGTCTGCCCCCTGTCCCCCCTTTGGAACATTGAAAATTTAAGTTGTGCAAATTCTTTAAGAAGTACATCACTAGACGTAGAATTCAACGCTGATTCTGAATATTTAGTCGATTCCACTCCGATGCCTTGCAGAAAATTTGTAAATTACTTTTTTCAGCTGGTGGTGGTTTCGGCCTTCCTTCGGTTTCGCCCGTCAGCCGACTTACCAACGTTTGTCAAAAATTTGAAACACACACTATCGTGTTCAGAATTGATTTTTCTATCTAAAAGATGTCAAAATAATATCATATAACCATGTTTTGTGTTTTTTTAGGTCAAAAACAGAAAAAACGACGAAAAAGAGCGGTTTTTTCAACACTTCGATCTAATACTGTATAGAAAGTTCTTTTTGCTCTATCCATTTTATCTATGTTCTTGTTATTTTGCCTTTATATTGTAGATAGTCCTCTATAAGTAGCCGATTGCTGAATTTTAAGGATTACAACATGCCTTAATACGAGCATTCTTATAAATATTCTGTTTAAGAAGACTTTTCAGTACTTTTATAACTATTGTTTATTATCCAACATTCAAATTTGTTCTGTTTCTTATTCCATTTCTTCAAAAAATATTATCTAATATATTAGAAATATTATCAGAAAACCCCAGTCGTCTATCTGTCGAGACTTCAGAACAAGCTGCAAGCACCGGCGCAGTCATAACGTTTTTTCTAACAAGGCTAGAAACTTGCGGTTTTCACCATTCGGTTCGGCTTGCTGTGCTCTGTAATATGAAACAGGCCTCGTCACTAAAGTCAAAGGGCGACGTAAATGGTGATAGATCGGTTTTAGATGGATCGAGCCTATCCTATGCTGAAAACGTCGCTCTTAGGTAGTCATGTGCCAAAAACTGAGTGTTCACACTTCTAACTAGAAATGAGTTACCCAACAATTTGAAGAGTTTTCACAGAGCTTTCTTTTGATATATAATGTACACCGCAAGCTAGATTCTCTCATCATAAACACAATAGACATACCATCGTTGGCTATGCTGGAAAGACCGCTTTTTAACAGTAATATCCAAAACCTTCGCTCATAGCAGTATCGATTGGAAAGCAATTACACAACATTTTGTAGAGCTAACAGTTCTTCTCATAATACTAGAAAACATCACTCTTAGGTAGTAATGTGCCAAAAACTGAGCGTTCGCACTTCCAACTAGAAATGAGTTACCCACCATTTAGCAGAGTCATGAAAGAGCTTTCGTTCGATATACAATGTAGACCGCAACCTTGGTTCTTCCATAGCGAAAAAGTTGAAATACTATCGTGGACTTTGCTGAAAAGGTCATTTTTAACAGTAATATTCCAAAAACGTGGGTGTGAACAGTGTACATAACAATTGAACAATTATGGTTTTGTTCGTCGTTTAAAGCTGCATCAAATCGTATGTAAGACTTTCCTTCGAACTTGGTGTATTCTGAGAAAAGTCAGAAAAACACATCGGAATGGACTCGCGGAGCTATTGGTCAAACTTGATCGATTTTCTGACAGATATCCCAAGGGAAACCAAGGATCTACAACCCCATAAAATCATATGCTCTTCAATTCTTGATATCTTTGAGCAGATCTGAAATAGGGCTAATTCTCCTTCTTATTGCACCCCATTCTTACAGTTCAAAAATCAACTAAAAAAGAATTATTTATTTAGACTTATTATTATACAGAGCCAAACAAAACCTCATAGTAAATGGAGCATTTTCTAATGTTTACTTTCACAATTCGCCATTAAAATGATCTTCAATAATCAGCTATTCCAAATAAACAAGGAAAAATAATGCTTTTCGTAGTCCCTTTAGCGTAAATGAATGAACCAAGAAGAAACAAGAAAATCGTTATTGTGTCTATTCTATGTCATCTTGTTCTCTACTTTCATCAAACTTGAAAGCACCTAGATCGGTTTCTACGTGGTGTAGTTCATGCTATAGGAACAAAAACAGCAAGAGAATACTTTCAGTACTGACGTATGTGGCCTATTTGCTACAGGCATTTACGTCTGGAACGACCGGTGACAGGTTCAATCGCTGTCCGTCCACATCGTTCTTTTTTCAATTCTTTTCTGGTCTAGGGAGTTTTTATTTTAATTCATTATTACTTTTAGAATTCTTCAGCTTTAACACTAAATAAGGGATATAGCAACAAAAGAAAAGAGCGGCGTCTCTCATAAGTAAATGAGTTCTCTCTTTTGAGCCGTTTCGTGCCATACTTAATTATTGAGACTTTTAATGAGAGCAGTTAGCGCCGTTTCCAGTCTGTCTAGAGTTATTCTAATTTGCTGTGATCTGTTTATTCCATTTTTGGCATTTGCAGCTTATTAGATGCGATAGTTTCCTTAAATTTTACAATTCTAATACAGTTATTGAAAAAAAAACAGCATTGCTCGAAACAGAGCCAAAAAAAGCAATAATGAGTCTCTTGGAGACAAACAGTATGATCGGAACCGTCAAAAATTTATGGAAAAAGGTGGCATTTCAATTAAATGTACAAGGATTTTAGACCATGGAGATGACGGCTATATAGTTCGTTTCTCTACAGCGGCTCGTCAGCTCAGGTACGGTGTTCCAATATGGCACCCGTCCTTAAAGTAGAGGTGAAAAAGTCCTGCACTTGCTGTTGGCTTTTCTATCGCATCTTCCGCACCATCACTCTAGCTCTATCCACTCACGCTCACTCAGGCACAAGGAAAGAGAATACAATTTTCTTTTACTTTAAATCGATTTTATGCTTTGCAGTGGGATGGAGTTTGATCAAAATACAGAAGAATTCCAAATAAACAAGGAAAAATAATGCTTTTCGTGGTCCCTTTAGCGTAAATGAATGAACCAAGAAGAAACCAGAAAATCGTTATTGTGTCTCTTCTATGTCATCTTGTTCTCTACTTTCATCAAACTTGAAAACACCTAGATCGGCTTCTACGTGGTGTAGTTCATGCTATGGGAACAACAACAGCAAAGACATTTGAGACCCGCTAAATTCAGAAGCATTTGTAGGTGATTATTAAGAAATTATTTGAATAGCGAATTGAGAAAGTAAACATAAAAAAGTTAAGATAAAGAATAATGGGAGAAAAGAATTATTAAAAATCACTAAAGTTCTCTTTTCCATTCATGTCTCTTTTTGTATTTTAAAATGGAACCAGGAAATATGCCAGATTAATCACCATCAACACTGACAAGTTCTGACTGTATTCCGATTGTTGGTTCTTCAG